AAAAAAAAAAAAAAAAATTCAAAAGTTGTTTGCGTGCTAATCTAGCATCCCAAATCAGTTTATGTTTCTTTTACTGGTATTTAGTTGAATTAATAAGAAAAAATAAAAAACTAAAAAATTCAGAAAATTGTTTGCAGTATACAATTTCACTTTTTTAGTAAAACAAAAAATTCAAATTCAAAAGTGTCCAATTCAAATTTAAGAAACGTCTTCTTAAATTTTTCCTTAGTGTTCCATTTAAAATGTTGAGTCCTAATTCTCGAGTCATTCTAGAGTCAATTTTTTTTACCAAATCTTTGTTTGAAACTCCACATGGATTGAATTTTGATTGAGATCGAATTAGTTCTGTGAAGCACTTGCAAGAAAGTATTGAGTGGAAAAATATTGTAGTGTTGAGGTTAATAAAGGAAAAAACCAATTTGAGTGATACACGAGCGTATACACATGAAGCAAATATTAAATTAGATTTAGGATGTCAGATAGAGACGAGTCTACTTCAAGCAGGAATAATAATCAAGTCAACATGTCGGATGAGGTGATATAACGGTTCGAAAGGTTGTTTGAGAATGTGAGAGACAAATTGGATAGGCAAGACACATTGCTTGCTAATTTTTGGAAGGGAACAATCTAGAGAAGTTCATAACACAATGAGGCAAGGTAGGCGGGATCATAGAACGGATTTTGCTGGTGAATGTGAAGTTGATAGTGACATTAATGAGGATGTATTAGTGGATGTCGAATTAGGAAGAATGAAGGATATAGCAGTAATGCATGAAATGAGGAATAGAGATTCTATTGGAGATGGTGTTGATCGAAGTATGGGCAATATCAAATGACAATTCCTTCATTCAAATAAAAGAGTGATCCGGAGGCATACTTTGAGTGGGAAAAGAAAGTAGAGTTGATATTTGATTGCTACAACTACTCAGAGGAACGTCTAGGAGGAGAAACCTTGATAGTGGGATCAAGTAGTAACATCTAGGAGGAGAAATATTGATAGGCCTATTAATACATTAGAAGAATCGAAGGCTATCATGCGAGAAAGGTTCATGCCTTATCATTATTATAGGGAGCTTCATAAAAAATTGCAAAGCCTCTACCAAGGTTTAAGGAGTGTGGATGATTATCACAAGGAGATGGAGATTGCTATGATTAAAGCGAATGTTGGGAAGCATAGGGAGGCGGTCATGGCCTAATTTTTGAATGATTTGAATAGGGAGATAGCTAATGTGATAGAGTTGAAACATTATGTGGAGTTGGAAAACATGCTACATGTAGCTATGAAAGTGGAAAGATAAGTGAAGAGGAATGGGACTACTAGATATTCATCGGGTTCTTGGGTTCTAACTCTTTTTGGAAACCGAATAGGGATAACAATAAAGGTGATGGGGCTGCGACAAAAGGTAAAGCTGAGCTATTAAACGGAAGAGAGGAAGTTGCTAGTAAAGCTACATCCAACACGAATTCCCAACCCCCTTGAAATTGGGATATCAAATACTTTAAATGCTTGGGATCGGGATTTCTAAATGTCCAAATAAAAGAGTGATGATCTTTCTCGCCAATGGAGAAGTGTAGAGTGATAGTGAGGTAAATATGATGACATGCCGAAATTGAAAGATGATAGCGATGGTGAGAAAGTTGAGTATGCAGTGGGAGAGCTGTTGGGTACACAGCGAGCTCTTAGTGCTCAAATCAAAGTAGATGACTTGAAGCAACAAAGGGAGAACATATTTCATAAAAGATGCCCGTCAACAACATGGTATGTAGTATGATTATTGATGGGGATAATTTTACCAATGTGACTAGCACTACACTTGTTGAGAAATTGGGATTAACTATCTTAAAAGATCTTATGCCTTAAAAATTGCAATAGTTGAATGAATGTGGAGAGGTTAAGATGAATAGGCGAGTGTTGGTGAGTTTATCAATTGGAAGGTATCATGATGAAGTGTTGTGTAATGTAGTTCCTATGCAAGTCATGCATATTTTGTTGGGGAGGTCATGACAATATTATAGGAAGGTAATTCTTGTTGGGTACAAAAATAAGTACTAGGTATCATGATGAAGTGATGTGTAATGTAGTTCCTATGCAAGTCATGCATATTTTGTTGGGGAGGTCATGACAATATTATAGGAAGGTAATTCTTGTTGGGTACAAAAATAAGTACAGCTTTATTGAGGATGGAAAATCTATTACTCTTGCGTCATTGACATAACAACAAGTGTATAAAGATCAAATCAAATTGAAAAGTGAGGAAGAAAAAAGATCAAGAGAAAAAGGGAGTAAGATTGATCTTTCACAACAAGAAAGCAAAAGAGAAAATAGTGAAAAAAAAGAGTAGAGCTACAAGAGAGAAAAGAAAAGGAGTCTTATGAGATGACATAAAAGTCGAGGGTGAATTTCTTTGCAAAGGGAAGTGAATTGAAGAGGGCAGCAGTTGAGAACCAACAAATGATTTTGATGGTTTATGAGGAGTCACTCATCAATTTTGAGGAATCTAATACACCCCTCCCAGTTTGGCTATTTCTTTGTTGCAAAAATTCGAAGACGTGTTCCTGGAGGACATGTCTAGTAGGATACCACTCATTCGAAGCATGGAACATCAAATTAATTTTGTACCTGGAACTATCATTCCAAACAGGCTGGCTTATCTGAGTAATCCCAATTAGACTAAGGAACTTCAAAGGTAAGTTGAAAAATTGATGAGCAAAGGATATATGAGAGAGAGTATGAATCTATGTGTCATGTCAGTGCTACTTATGTCAAAGAAAGATAGAACGTGGAGGATGTGGGTCGACTGAAGAGCCATCAACAATATAACGGTAAAATATCATCATCATATTTCTAGGTTAAATGATATGTTAGATGAATTTCATGAATCATGCATATTTAATAAAACTGATCTTAAAAGTTGTTATCATCATATTAGGATGAGAGAAGAAGATGAATGGTAAACAACTTTTAAAATTAAATATGGGTTATATGAGTAGTTAGTCATGCCATTTGGACTTACTAATGCACCTAGAACATTTGTGAGATTAATAAATCATGTTTTACGTGCATTCATAGTAAATTCGTAGTAGTCTACTTTGATGACATCTTGGTATATAATAAGGATCTAAATAAACATATAGGGCATTTAACATGTGTGCTTGTGGTCTTAAGGCAAGAACAATTTTATGCTAACTTTAAAAAGTGCACATTTTGCATGGAAAATTTTATTTTTCTTGGTTATGTC